GGGGGGGGGCACATCAACAATGCCTGTGATCGCAGTGTTTGCTGGGCATCTCTTGCAATTCAGACCCTACCTGGGGAATGGACCACATCAATTTAAATCTTAGCCCTTAGTACAACTCTGTCTGTGCAAAGGTCACAGGCTGCACAGCTGCGCCCAGGGGGCCAAAATAAACTCTGCATGATCTACTACCGATTTCCTTCAGAATTCTTATCCCGATTAGCACGGGGGGGCCTCGTCCCGGTCGGGCCTGCACCGGCGTATTATTTATACGCAAAAAGCCTGAGCAGCCGCTAAATTAGCCAGCATTCCTAGGATGCCGCTAATGTGCTGTTTTCAGCTGGGGGAACAGAGTGATTCCAAAATAACCATCAGGCGTTGATAAGCCTCCATGAGTCAGCGGCATCTCTGGCGCTGAAGTCCGTTCCCGAGGGCTCGCTACTTCCCCTGTCATAAACACACGATAGCAGTCGAAAGTGTGCCTGGGAGTCCTCAGACCCACCGGCGATGCCTGGTACGGGCGGCACTGCACGCACTTTGTCAAGCTGAAATGGGCTCCATTAAACACACAGCCACTGATCTACTTGGACACACTGAAATGCGGCACTTCTCATAAACCGAGCCGAAGAAACCGAACCGGCCCGGAAACCTGTCCAATAGGGCGGCGGTGCCCTTTGACCCTGTGAGGATTACGGATGACAGATGATGAAGGTGCCCCTCATCTTCCTCCAGCCCGAGCGTTTTGCTGCGGGCCCAGTCTAACGGCGCAGTCAGCATAACGGATGACATCGTCCGCGCCTGTGAGAAATGAGAGGCGGCATGCTTGAAGGTCTCAGCTTAATAAGGCTCACACAACGCGGCCAGGAATGTGCCCCCATCCAAAATCCCATCCTGATAACGTTCGATTTAAAGCCTCACTGTATTCGGAGTACCAGGCACCAAGCTGCCTCATGCTCTCCCATGTATTGCTGAAACACTGAGATATAAAGCTTCTTATGGGAGATACATACATACACATACATACATACATAAACATACATACATAAATGTCGTGTTAGAATCTGCCAAGTTAACTAATAACCCTGCAGTTTGCCCTTTAATAACGGATTGGTATTTGGCTTGAACAAGTGGTGAAAATGGATGAATTTCTCACACGCTGTGTGGATTTTCCTATTTATATAGCACATTTATTAACAGTTACCCAGCATGCTCCTGCGCTGGGCGTCATTTTTCAATCGTGGCGGCTTTTGTCCAGTTTTCCTGCGGTGTTCGGAGTATTGCCTGCTTATACCCTGGCAGTGCTGAAATGAAACTGACCATTTCTCCTGGCTGTTTGTTTGGATCCCGGCAGTGATAATCTATACCAAATGGCGTCGCAGCTGGAATGTGTGGCCTGGAACCCTGTCAACTCGCTGGCATCCACCATCAAGAGGTACGTCACTCTGCCCGCACTGCTTCACAGATTCTTCTCAAACTGGAATTAGCATCCATTAATCTACTGTAAGCCCCTCTACAGTAGGCATTTCATTAAATCATGCACTCCGCCAATTATGTTGATGAATCATATGACGTGTGCCTTGCATACTAATGACCCAGGATCTGTGAAATTCTTATGCTTCATTTTGTTTGCTGTCCGTTTGGCCCTAAACTCATCACACTCTAATCACGTCCCGGTTTTGATATCGTTTGTTATCTGAACCAATCCATCACATCTCCCTGCCACTCTGGCAATGTGCGCCATCAAAGCCACTGGTGCCAGTGATCTAAGGTCCCGTCAGCACATGACTGCCTGTGACTCTGTGGCCCGCAGGCCGCTGACACGTGCTGATAGCCGGCTGGTGGCCCGTCCAGGGGTTATCTCCAGTGCAGGAGGTGGTCGTGACTGCTGCCACAGGGTCCTAGTGCAGGTCCCCACCTCCCTGTCGCTCCCTGTTCCTGGGACCACGTGCAGAATTAGACAGTGTTTTGTCTGTCCTCCGGAATATATCCTGTGATATATTTCCTGAAGCACACATCAGCCTTGACCGTGCTCCAAGATGTAATGGAGGAAGAGGTCATGCCCGGAAAGCTGGCAAGCAGTTAGCACACAAGCCAATGACTCTGCACCGAGGCCCCCTGAGAGCACCCAGATCCACCCCGGGTGGGGGGAGGGTCTGACCCCGATTCCACCCCACCGGAGCAATGACTGAATGAGTAATCTGCTGTTAAGTGTGGGGACGACAGTGTTTAGCTGTGGAAAATCAGCCCTAGACGTGGTCTCATCTCTGGGGACACAAGCCAAAGTTTTTATGGGTGTTTTCCAGATAAATGCCACAGTTCCCAATCCCTCAAGTCAGAGTTGCCATGAACCTGAGGCGTTTATCTGCAGAATGAATGAATGAATGAACTGTGTGACGATTTACTCATGCAAAGAGCTCCTACCATCCCAGGTTTGGCTGTCTGGATAAAGAGAGCTTTATGGTACTGGAATCATGCAGGAGAGGGGCTGAGAGAGGCCCTGAGACCCTCTGTTAATGTAGCCACTTCCTCTCTCTAATGTAGTAACAATCCCTGCCGGTCTGGTTGTGCCGGGTGTAGGCTGCAAGTCAGTCTCATGAATACTCAAAGAATACTCAAAAAATACTCAAGCATCAAGCTGACTATGTTTATGCTACTTCTTAGAAAATAACTTTTTTTTTCTGTTTAAAAAAAAACAAACAACTTGGTTCATTTGCGCATAGTGGTTGTCCCGGGTTACTGTTTTTACTTGATTGTGCTGTCCAAGGTGACTCCAATAATCCGTTTATAAAGATACCTCTGTTAATAAGTTACTTTGGCTAGTATAGATCCTGCAAAGCCAGGCTTGTGGGGACTGGCTGTGGTGGAAGGTGACATAATGTCATAAAAAAAAAAAAACTTTTTTTGTCATAATACGTACATTTAGTGACTTTAATATTCTCTAACATTACAGATAATCTTTGAATGATCTATTTTTCTGTGATGCAAAGTTGATCATTTACCTTCCAAGAACACAAAAGGCCATTTCACCTGAAGTAGAAGGAAAGTTTTTTTTTTAATGTGACGTTCCTAATATTCCCCTTGTGCTCAGTATCTGTAAATAACCAGATGCAGCTTGTTGTTTGTTAGCTTTCCCGCTCGGCACAGTGGAGACAAAAAGCCCAGCGTGCAGTATGAGGTGGTGAAGCGGCTGCATTGTTTCCCTGCAGCCACGCCTCGGGATACGAGAGTGACCCCAACACGCCCATGATGTACAGCTGCAGCACGCAGTACCGCATCCACACCCACGGCGTCTTCCGCGGCCTCCAGGTCAGTCGCCGCTCCGCCAGCGCTCCGGGGTTCGCCTGGAGGTCGCCTCCCCCCCCCGAGCCTTTTGTTCTTCCAACATGCCCAAGGTCGAACCGCAGACCATGGCGATCCCGAGTGCCGATCCATGGTCGGGGCTTTTGGGGGCTGTCCCCCTGCCCCACAGGCTCACTGGCACGGAGTGGCCCTGCTGCTTTACAGAAACTCTAGAACGAAAATAGATGGGAACCACCTTAAGAAAGTCCATTAGCAATAAAGATGCATTTCTGTGTGCATGCCAGCATTAATAAATCATTATCTCTTAATTAATGCACGTCGGAAGGCAGCTGCTCTCCAGGGAAAGCTTTGGAGACGTTCTGTGTGACAGCGCCGTATTTACTCTAGTCCCTAGCATTGTTTTTTTTCTGAAATGAAGTTAAATTGGCCCTGGGCGGAATATTTGTTTTTCCATAAGTGTATTTTAGGCCAATATGTTTGCAGTCAAAAATAAACGCCGTGTGATGTAGCAACAAATGTGACGTAATGGAGATGGGCAGATGGCTTTGATTTGAGGAACCCAGACTCCTGCCCTGACTTTGGTGTCGGCCCCCCAGTGGGGTCACCAGATAATCCACGAGGCAGAGTCATAAAACTCTTTAGTAATTTACTTATCAATAACTTCCAAAGTGCATTAATTACACCGCTGGGGCATAAAAAGCCCATTATATTAAGCTGCCGCTAATTAAGAGCAGATGGGGTGCAGCGCAGGGCAACACTGCGCACCCGGGCAGATTGGCCGAGATGGGGGCTGCCCAGTGTCCGTGACGAACGGCCCCCATTTAAATAACAAATCAGCTACATAGGGAAACTCGCATGATCTTTTTACAGCTAATTCTAACATAATGCGGCCATTAGGAAAGATAAATAGATTTGTTCTGGAGCTGGAGAGCATCGCCATGTAGCACTGTCTGGCTGTCTGTCTCTGGTGGCCTGATTAACGCCCCTTAGGCTGCATGAATTGTAACTGCGCGTTTAACACGTCTGCTGCTCTCATACGCTGTAACTGCGCATTTAACACATCCACAGAGCTCACACCCCATAACTGCGCATTTAACACGTCCGCTGGGCTCACACCCCATAACTGCGCGTTTAACATGTCTACTGTGCTCACACCCTGTAACTGCACGTTTAACACATCCACTGCACTCGCACCATGTAACTGTGTGTTTAACACGTCCTCTGTGCTCACACCCTGTAAATGCACATTTAACACTTCCACTGCGCTTGCACCTTTTGACTGCACGTTTAACACATCTGCTGTGCTTGCACGCCATAACTGTGTATTTAACACGTCCACTGCACTCAGGCTCTGTAACTGTGTGTTTAACACGTCCACTGCACTCGCACACGTCCACTGTGCTTACACCCTGTAACTGCATGTTTAATGAATCCACTGCATTCACATGCCATAACTGCATGTTTAACATGTCCACTGTGCTCAGACCCCATAACTGCATGTTTATCAAGTGCACTGGGCTCACACCATGTAACTGCCCATTAATAACATGTCAGCTGTGCTCACACCAGATAACTGCACCTTTAATACGTCCATTGTACTCACATCCTGTAATAGCACATTTAACATATCCACTGTGC